TGGCCCAAAGTAAAGAGTATTGTTACAGAAATCACTTCAATTTGTAACTCAGTTCGACAGTTGGCTCGACAATGTGATGAAGATTCGGTCACAATTAGTGCTATAAAGTCACTGAATCAAATTGAACCATCGTCCATGTACACACAATTGTTTAAAGAAGTTATTCTTGAAATCAATTTTGATCGAAAGAATGAAATTCAAGCTCTAGTACAGTATGTACGTAAAAAGTATGAAAGTGACGATAATCAATTAAAAATTATTGATGAATTTGCTACAGAATATCGTGATGAGTCCGATGGTAACAACAGACCGATTTGGTGGTATACACGTGAGTGTTTTACGTACTCCATGCTGAACAAAGCTTTGGGTGTTTTACAAGTTGATACCCTACTTAAGATGGGAATCTTCATGCGTGATCTTCATCAAAATATCACCAAGCTACATGCCAAGCAATTGAATGAGACATTCAATGACTCGCAACAAATATTGACAGTTTATCGAGGTAAAACAATGTTAAAAGAAGATTTTGAAAATAAAATCAAACAAGGCGGACTGATGTCTTTTAATAACTTCTTATCAACAAGTGATAATCGAGCTGTTGCTCTCGATTTTATCTCAAAAGGTCTTAAATCCGCTGATCCAAAAAAAGTTGGTGTTCTATTCGAAATGACAATCGATCAAAAGATGTCATCAGCTCAAGGGGGAAACATCGTACTTTTGTACTTTAAAGTACATAAAGTATATGAAGTACAGCGACGTACCGCAAAGTACAATAAAGTACTTTAAAGTACGGTGAAGTACAATAAAGTACTTTAAAGTACGGTGAAGTACAATAAAGTACTTTAAAGTACGGTGAAGTACAATAAAGTACTTTAAAGTACGGTGAAGTACAATAAAGTACTTTAAAGTACATTGAAGTACTTTAAAGTACATTAAAGTACATTGAAGTACTTTAAAGCACATTAAAGTACATTAAAGTACATTGAAGTACATTGAAGTGCTTTAAAGTACATTAAAGTACATTAAAGTACATTGAAGTACTTTAAAGTACATTAAAGTACTTTAAAGTACATTAAAGTACATTAAAGTGTATTCAAGTATTTGAAAGTACATAAAAGTACTGTAAAGTACCTTGACGTATGTTCAACCACAATGAAGTACAATTAGTGGTGGGCGCTTATCATTATGTTACTAAGTCGCTGGCAATGAAGTAACGACAATTGTGAGACCGCGATCTTTCGGCTAAGGAAGGGTATTTGGAGAAAATAATGGTTTTCTATAAAGGTTGATGAAAACAAATTGGGGTGGCGCAATCCAAATCTGCTATTAGTTTCTCAAAATACCGAAGTGAATCTTTGAGATAAGGAAGAAGTATTTCCGAGAAATAACGGTTCTGCATAAACGTTGACGAACGTAAGTTGGGGTCGGAGAATCCAAATCTTCAATCGGTTTACCAAAATTTCGAAATGGATTTTTCGGCTAAGGAAACAGTATTTCGAGAAAATAACGATATTCTATAAAGGTTGACGAAAGTAAATCGGGGTCGGAGAATCCGAATCTGAAGTCAGTCTCTGAAAATTTTGAATTCCATTTTTTGAGTCAAGGGAAGGGTTTTTGAGAAAATAAGGATATTTTATAAAGGTTGACGAAAGGAAATTGAGGTCGGAGAATCCGAATCTGTCATTAGTTTCTCAAAATACCTAAGTGAATTTTTTGGTCAAGGAAGGGTTATTTAAGGAAAATAACGATTTCCTATAAAGGTTGACGAAAGTAAAGCGGGGTCGAGGAGTTCAAATCTGCAATCGATTTTTCGAAATTGGGAATTTTTTTTTAGATGAAGAAAGGGATGTTCTGGAAAGATGAGTATCTATGATACGGTGCCGTATTACCTGTTGTGAAAGATAAGTCTTGCTGCTGGGCTTAATTTTAATGTATTCTCTAGTAATGATGTGAGTCTATAGGTTGTTACTCCCGTTACTTCTTTAAAATAGTGTTTCCAGTGTGAGACACTTTATTAATGCTTTCAGAGTGGAAGGCTCATTAGCGATACGCTTCGTTGACATGGATAGTATATTCGAATTCCAGAAATCCCTTTGTATGAAACTGATTTGCGGAACAGCAAGTATGTATTTGTATGCTGGAAGTTAGTGGAATCAGACAGTTTAAGCTGTGAAAGGGTACTATAGCTGAAGTTGTGCTTTTGACTTAGAGTGTATTGATGTGGGTGTGTGCACGGATTGAGACTCTTATGATTGTATTTAGGAGATTTATAATTTGACCGCTCAAATTTATAAATAGTACAGTTACACGTAGCATAGACTCGCACCTTTCATCATT